GCCCTCCTGCCTCGTGGCCTCCTCGTGGAGTTTCAAACTTCAACTCCAAGTCTTTTGGATTGCTTTCGGTCCAAGAAAGATCATCGCGAATGTTTCATTCCGTTTGGACTCTGTTTGGTATTCCTTTTCTGCAAAATTCTAAAATAGGCAAAAAATAAAACACAGAAACAGGCGCTGGGCCTCCGGTTAATAGGTTAGTCCCCAAAATAATATAAAAGAGTATATTAGAGCCCATTAAACATCCAAAACAGATAATATAACAACATGGAACAATCAAAAAATATAGATACGTTGGAGACGTATCAAGCAACACCAACGGGCCTCTGCCCTCAAGACCATCCCAATCACTTGGGCGTTTGTTGTGTGGGGTTTGGACATGGTGGGACCGTTTAAGACAGCACGCGGCGGCATTGACCCATTTGCTGGTTGCCGTAGACAAGTTCATGAAGTGGATCGAAGCCAAACCGATCAAGAAGCAAAACGGCCTGACAGCCGTCACGTTCATCGCGGACATCACCGTTTGATACGGCGTCCCGCACAGCATCATCACCGACAACGGCACAAACTTCGCCAAAGGCGCCTTGGCCTGTTGTACACGAATCAGGACATCCGACTGGACCTCGCGTCCGTTGCCCACCCACAGTCAAACGGTCAGGTGGAGCGAGCAAACGACCTCATCCTGTCCGGCATCAAGCCCCAGTTGGTTGAGCCACTGGAGCGCTCGGCTGGCTGCTGGATCGAGGAGCTGTCGGCCGTCCTTTGGAGTCTTCGGACCACGCCCAACAGATCAACTGGCTTCACGCCCTTCTTCCTCGTGTACGGGGCCAAGGCTATCATCCCAATGGATATCGAGTTCGACTCGCCTCACGTCACCATGTACACGGAGGCGGAAGAAAAGGAGGCACGAGAAGACAGCGTCGACCTGCTCGAAGAGGTCCGGCTGCTAGCACTCAGCCGGTACGCCATCTACCAGCAGAGCTTGCGCCGCTACCACAACAAGAAGATCAAGCCGTGTGTTTCCGCGAAGGCGACCTTGTGCTCCAATTGATCCAACGATTAGCCGGCCAGCACAAGCTCGTAGCTCCTTGGGAAGGCCCCTTCATCATCAGCAAGGCCCTAGGCAATGACTCCTACTACCTCATCGATGCACAAAAGCCCAGGGAACGCAAGCGAAGCACAACTTGCGAAGAGACAGAGCAACCGTGGCATGCAAACCTCCTTCGTCCATTCTACAGTTGATGTAGTGTATGTACCACGCTACCTTTTGTATTAAGCAAAGACCTCAGGTGCCCTGAGAAGCACTCAGGGGCTACCTTTTCATCTATAAGATAAGCTTCTCCTATGACTTGAGTTTTTCATTCTCTTGCCCCGTCCGGGTCCGGTCAGCCGGCCCGGGGGCTCGCCGCCTTGGCCTAAGTCAGCACTACACGAAGCCAGACTAGTAGTGTGCCAACGCCAAAGCCCTCTCTTGACCCAGTCACAGCTCGCAGCGTGACTGTCCGGCTGGCAAGAGCTAAAGGCCGAAAACGCTGTCCACATGAAAAACGAGTAAGGAAAGGTGTTGACCCTGGCCAAGCCGGCCTTTCGCCTCCCTCATCCGGCTGCTTAGCAGCCGGCAGGCCGGCTTCTCGCTCGATCAGCTATGCTCTAAGCGGCTGGAGTAACATACCCGTTCTAAACGGCCAAGTCCCTGACCCGGCCATAGACCGCAGTGCGGCTGTTCAGCAGGCAGAGCCGCGACCAAAGGAACACAAAACCCGAAAAAACCAAAAAGAGCAAAGGCAAAATGAAGTTAGAACTCGGCAACGCATGGAAACATGTGGGGATTTAAACTTATTTACACTGCAAAAGGGCCCAAGGCCAGCATTCATCAGAGTTTAAAATACACCCCCAGTGGGTGGAACTGGGCATAACTAACAATGTTTTGGAGCACAACACAGAAAAACTTAAAAAAGATAAAGGCCGCTTAGGCCAAAGGCTCCTCGGGCTGCCTAGTCAGGTCGGTGGTGGGCGTAGCTCCGGCTGGTGGGGCCTCCGGCTGCTGGGTCTCGGCCTGGTCGTTGGCGGTGGCCGACGTGGTCTCCGGTTGCTCACCAGTCGGGGCTGGATCGGGCCGAGTCTGGCTGGTCGCTTGCTACCTCTTGAGCTTGCGTTCATTTTTCCCTTAAAGAGAAAAGGGTGATGCAGCAAAGTAGCATACGTATTTCCCTCGGTTTTGAGAACCAAGGTATCAATCCAGTAGGAGACAACACACAAGTCACCTAGTACCTGCACAAACAATTAAGAACCTTGCAACCAACGCGATAAAGGGGTTGTCAATCCCTTCACGGTCACTCGCAAAAGTGAGATCTAATAAAGATAGTAAAGTAAATATTTTTGGTATTTTTGTTGTATAGATTGGAAAGTAAAGATTGCAAAATAATAAACGAGATGCGATATAAATACAAGAGATGTAATATAATAAGAAAGAGAACCGGGGGCCATAGGTTTCACTAGTGGATTCTCTCAAGATAGCACGTACTATGGTGGGTGAACAAATTACTACCAAGCAATTGATAGAAAAGCGCATAGTTATGATGATATCTAAGGCAATGATCATGAACATAGGCATCACGTCCGTGTCAAGTAGACCGAAACGATTCTGCATCTACTACTATTACTCCACACATCGACCGCTATCCAACATGCATCTAGAGTATTAAGTTCATAAGAACGGAGTAACGCATTAAGCAAGATGACATGATGTAGAGGGATAAACTCAAGCAATATGATATAAACCCCATCTTTTTATCCTCGATGGCAACAATACAATACGTGCCTTGCTGCCCCTACTGTCACTGGGAAAGGACACCACAAGATTGAACCCAAAGCTAAGCACTTCTCCCATTGCAAGAAAGATCAATCTAGTAGGCCAAACTAAACCGATAATTCGAAGAGACTTGCAAAGATATCAAATCATGCATATAAGAATTCATAGAAGAACCAAATAATATTCATAGATAATCTTGTTCATAAATCCACAATTCATCGGATCTCGGCAAACACACCGCAAAAGAGTATTACATCGAATAGATCTCCAAGAACATCGAGGAGAACTTTGTATTGAGAATCAAAGAGAGAGAAGAAGCCATCTAGCTAATAACTATGGACCCGAAGGTCTGTGGTAAACTACTCACGCTTCATCGGAGAGGCAATGGTGTTGATGTAGAAGCCCTCCGTGATCGCCCCTCTGGCAGATAGCCGAAAAAGGCCCCAAGATGGGATCTCACGGGTACAAAAGGTTGCGGCGGTGGAAAAGTGGTTTCGTGGCCCCCCTGATGTTTCTAGGGTATAAGAGTATATATAGGCGAAGCAAGTATGTCGGTGGAGCTATGAGGGGCCCACGATGGTGGGGGCATGCCTACCCCCCTGGGCACGCACTCCTGCCTCGTGGCCTCCTCGTGGAGTTCCAGACTTCAACCCCAAGTCTTCTGGATTTCTTTTGGTCCAAGAAAGATCCTCATGAAGGTTTCATTCTGTTTGGACTCCGTTTGGTATTCCTTTTCTGCAAAACTCTAAGATAGGCAAAAAACAGAAACTGGCACTGGGCCTCCGGTTAATAGGTTAGTCCCAAAAATAATATAAAAGAGCATATTAAAGCTCATTAAACATCCAAAACAGATAATATAATAGCATAGAACAATAAAAAATTATAGATAAGTTGGAGACGTATCAAGCATCCCCAATCTTAATTCCCGCTCGTCCTCGAGTAGGTAAATGATAAAAACAGAACTTTTTATGTGGAATGCTACCTAGCATATTTATCAATGTAATTTTATTTATTGTGGCATGAATGTTCAGATCCGAAAGATTCAAGACAAAAGATTAATATTGACATAAAAACAATAATACTTCAAGCATACTAACGAAGCAATAATGTCTTCTCAAAATAACATGGCCAAAGAAAGTTATCCCTACAAAATCATATAGTTTGGCTATGCTCTATCTTCATCACACAAAGTATTTAATCATGCACAACCCCGGTTTCAACCAAGCAATTGTTTCATACTTTAGTATTTTCAAACTTTTTCAATCTTCACGCAATACATGAGCATGAGCCATGGACATAGCACTATAG